TGTTATTACTAGCTGCAATAGTTAAATTTTTTTTATTTTACACACACACACACATTTAATATTTATATTTATAAATAGTTAAACATTTTTGACCCTGGTAAAATTTTAATTACGTACTTGATTATCGTAATAACAAGAAAGAAACTTTTTTCCGAAAGCGGCGGTATCAAAAGGAAAATGTTTACATTCTGTAAAGTCATCGGGAGACAATATGTTGTTAGTCGGTATATTAACAAAACGTGTATACATTGTGACATATTTTTCTAAAGTATCCACCGGTAAACTTGCCTGTAAAAAGATGTATGTTATAAAATATAATTTTGTTTTTAAAATAAATAAACTGCATACAGTTAAAGTAATTAATAGTTAGATGCAATTTTAAAAAATTACTTGTATAACCAGCTTTATTCTGTGAGCACTGTAATAGCACTTTGTAAACTTTTGAAGCTCTTCATAAAGTTTCGTGTAATCCAAATTTTCCTGCATTTTTTTAAAACGATCCAAAGATTGTTTTACTGGATGATCAGTATGCGCGAAGTAGGCAAGCAGTGGTATATCACGACCGTAAGAGGCTCTTTCTAGTGTGTTCTGAAATTCTATATAAACATGATATTTTAAAATTGCGGTATAAGTACTATGAAAATATAATTTACCTTCTTCTATGCTATTTTGATCCTGCATAAATGCATCTATAACCTTTAAAGGATTAGCGAAAAATTCAGCAAAACGGTTGAGAACTGGTAAGAAATGCTTCTGTTGAATAGTGAAATAATATGTTGTATGTTCGTTATTATCTTCGAAATCATAATTGCCTCCATATTTAAGGATATAATTGTATATATTATATCTCTGCAAGTAAGATAATACTTAAAAAACAAAATATATTAATAAATAATGTTTTTATCAAATTTATCTATTATATTTTAGTACTTCTTGTATGTATTTGTGATATTCCTCTGTAAATATACGATTGTAGAGAAATGATACACCTGGAAATTCTGGTGAATCCTTAAACCATCTTAGTTTCATTCTTAAGCCACATGTTGCCTATAAAAAAATATATTTACATTCGCATCACAAATTACATGCTGAATATTAAATAAAGAAATAAATTATTTAATGTAATGAGAGAGAGGGAGAGAGAGAGAGAGAGAGAGAGAGAGAGAGAG